ACGACGGAGGCGACGACGACGACGACGACGACGACGACGACGACGACGACGACGACGACGGGCACCACCACGAACACGTGCACCACCACGACGACGACGACCACGACGACGACGACGACGACGACGACGACGACGACGACCACGACGACGACGACGACGACGACGACGACGACGACGACGACGACGACGATCACCGCGACAGCAACGGCGGCGGCGGCGACGACGACGACGACGACGACGACGACGACGACGACGAGGACGACGGCGGCGGCGGCGGCGGCGACGACGACGACGATGACTAGCACCATCAAGACGATGACCCCCACGACGACGACCACGATGATCACGACGACGGCGGCGGCGGCAACAACGACAGCAAGCACCAACATGACAACCAACACCACCACGTAATACCGTAACAGCGAAAACGGCAGCAAAGACGACGATATCAATTCGTCCGATGTCAATTCGTCCTTTGACAATTCGTCCGATATCCAGTCGTCCGGTGTCAAATCGTTCGGTGTCACGTCGTCTGGTGTCAATTCGTCAGGTGTCAATTCGTCCGGTGTCAAATCATGTTGTGTCAATTCGTCCGGTGGAATTCGACCACTGACAAAGCGTCCAGTGTCAATTCGTCCAGCGTTAATCCGTTTTGTGTCAAATCGTCTGGCGTCAATTCGTCCAGTGTCAATTCGTCTGGTGCAGTTCGTCTACTGTGAATTCTTGCGGTGTCTATCCGTCCGGTTTAAATTCCGTTATATTTTCGTAGAGCACCAGAGAGCAGATCAGCCAAACACAACGACGCAAAGCGAAACGAAAACGGACGAATCGAAAGCGGACGAAACGAAAGAGCACGAAACGCGGCGGACAAAACGGAAGAGGACAAGACATAAGAAAACGAATGAAAACGGACCAAATTAGCGTCCACCAGAGGACCCACCCAATTCCTTTGGGCCACAAGTAAAAGCCCTCAAGTCCAAACATCATTTGGAACATATCCATCCAAAAGAATCCGAAAGGTGCTTGGCGGGTTGGGGGGCCCAGTCCCCTAGGCGCCAAGAGGGCCCCAGACGGCCAAAGACGGTGCCAAAAAGCATCCACGCGGCCCCACGGCGGCCCCAGAGGCTCCAAAAATCGCTTTCAGCCCCTCCAGAGGCCCCCCTAACAGCCAAAGACGGTTCAAAAAATTATCCGTGGTGCTCGAAGACGTTTCCAGAGAGCTCCCAGGGGACCCTCAAGAGGGCTCCATCAAGCAAAATTGCCACATCTCGTTTGAGAAACTGACAGATTGTTTCTATTCCGCACAGCGCCCAAGACGGCCCCAGGGGCGTCCAAGATCGCCCCAAGAGGGCCCAAGATGGCCTCAGGCGGCCCCAGAACGGCCCAAGAGGCGCCCAAGACGGCCCAATAGCACCCTAAGCGGGGCCCAAGAGTGGTCCAAGACAGCCCAAGATGGCCCCGAGGCGGCCCAAGAGGCGCCCAAAATAGTCCAAGACGACCCCAAGACAGTCTAAGAAGCGCCCTAGCCCAAGAACGCCCCGAGAGGCTCCCACGAGGCCCAAAATAGAAGACTAGGGGCTCCCAAGCGGCCCACTAGAGTCTTCAAAGCTGCCTCCGAGAGAGGGGGCGGACGGGACGAGAGGCGAGAGGCCCCTCGCGGCCGCAAAAGAACAGTTTTTGCTATCTGGTCGCCCTGGATACCTGTCTTCTGTTCGACGACGACGACGACGACGACTTGTCGCTGAGCGGGATCGGCGGCGAAAAAGAGAGGAGATGTTCTGCAGCATGTGCAACGACACCTTGGTTCGGAGCCTCGCGTTTTGGACATCCCAAAACCATTGCCCCGCTGCGATCCTTAGTTTGCCGCAGCGCCAGTCCGACGCCTCCGACTCAGCCCAAGACGGCGCCGCGTTTGCCCCAGCCCGCTCCCGCGTCCGCCGCGATCTTGGCGCTAGTCTTCCAACGCTGCTCTGGCTTGGACTCCGGAGCCCTTTACTTTCGCGAAGCTCGATCACCTCGGCCCCCGCATCAGTGCATTTGGCGTTTTCAGCGAGGTAACACAAAAGTATGGTTCAAAGGGACTGCGGCAGTAGCTGACAGTCTCGCACAATCCAGCGCGCGCAACCAGATTTCGATCCGCTTAACTCCGTGGATTTAATCCGCGGATCCACACTAGCACACATCTATAACGTTTATTTATATTATATATATACATATTTATATATCGTGCTTATGCATGTATACATACATACATACATACATACATACAAACAAACAAACAAACAAACAAACAAACAAACAAACAAACAAACATGCATACAAACGTACAAACATACAAACATACAAACATACAAACATACATACATACATGCATGCATGCATGCATGCATGCATACATACATACATACATACATACATACATACATGCATGCATACATGCACACATGCACATATGCATGCGCATGGGTTCTCGCACGCGTACACGCCCTAAATGCGGACGTATGTCTGCGCACGCAAATGAACATTGGGACTCACACGCACGATGAAAGAGAGAGAGAGAGAGAGGAAGTGGGGGAAGAGAAAGAGAGAGAGAGAGAACAAAAAGGGAGAGAGAGAGAGAGAGAGAGAGAGCAGACGACAACAACAACATTCAGTTTAAGACTGTTCGCTCTTATCTGCTCGAGTGTCCGTTAACGCGTATTTCCCAGATATTCGATACCCGCCCTTTTTCGTCTTCGATCGTACCGTTTTTAGGGGGGTAGACCTTTCTTCCTGAAGGCCGGGCCTCGGCAAGCGGCGGGGCGGCCGCGGACCGTCGGCCTGGCCAGCGGCAGCGCTGATCGACGGCAACCCGACCCGAAGAGGGACGGACAGGGGATTGACCACGACGACGACGACGACTACGACGACGACGACGACGACGACGACGACGACGACGACGACGACGACGGCGACGGCGACGACGACGACGACGACGAGCGACGAGCGACAGCGAGAGCGAGAGAGAGAACGACAGCAGGGCCACGAAGGGCACGAAGTAGGCCACGAAGGGCGACAGCGGGAACACGAAGGGAATGCGCCTGGGGGCCACGAGAGCGCGAACGAGCGGGGGCCACGAAGGGCAGATTATGCGGGGCCACAGAAGGCAACGACGGGGCCACTGAGGGTAGCAACTGGGCCACGTAGGACAGCGAGAGGGCCACAAAGGGCGACAGCGGGGCCATGAAGGGCATGCACATGGGGCCACGACGGGCGCGATCGAGCGGGGGCACCGAAGGGCATACGTAAATTGGGCTGCGGAGGGCAAGGATGGGGCCACTGAAGGCAGCAACGGGGCCACGAAGGGCTGGCACGGGGCCACGAAGGGCGACTGCGGGGCCACGAAGGGCACGCATCTGGGGCCACACCAGGGGCGAACGAGCGGGGGCCACGAAGGGCATATATATATATATATATGTGGGGCCACGAAGGGCAGCGAGGGGGCCACGAAGGGCTGCCACGGGGCCACGAAGGGCAGCGAGGGGGGCCACGAGGGGCTGCAACGGGGCCACGAAGGGCAGCGAGGGGGCCACGAAGGGCTGCCACGGGGCCACGAAGGGCAGCGAGGGGGGCCACGAGGGGCTGCAACGGGGCCACGAAGGGCAGCGAGGGGGCTACGAAGGGCTGCAACGGGGCCACGAAAGGCAGCGAGGGGGCCACGAAGGGCTGCAACGGGGCCACGAAGGGCAGCGAGGGGGCCACGAAGGGCTGCAACGGGGCCACGAAGGGCAGTGAGGGGGCCACGAAGGGCTGCAAGGCTGCAACGGGGCCACGAACGGCAGCGAGGGGGCCACGAAGGGCTGCAACGGGGCCACGAAGGGCAGCGAGGGGGCCACGAAGGGCTGCAATTGGGCCACGAAGGGCAGCGAGAGCGATGTCCAAATAATCGGTGTGGGAGTACTCAAACGCGAGGAAGTCTTAGGCGGGAGCGGGGGGTTGGGCGAAATTGTGAGGAAGTCTCAAGCGGGAGCCGTTGTTGTTGTTGTTGCTGTTGCTGTTGCTGTTGCTGTTGCTGTTGTTGTTGTTGTTGTTGTTGTTGTTGTTGCTGTTGCTGTTGCTGTTGCTGTTGCTGTTGCTGTTGCTGTTGCTGTTGCTGTTGTTGTTGCTGTTGCTGTTGCTGTTGCTGTTGTTGTTGCTGTTGCTGTTGTTGTTACCCGGGGGCCAACCGCATTGTTTAACCATCAAGACTTTCCCTGATAAAAAACAGGGTGCGAGCGCCGGGAGGGGCATTTCAATTGCAAATAGTATAATGTGCACCGGAAAAGGGGGGCAAACAATATTTATTCAGTCGCGAGAGTTCAGCAGCAGCAGCAGCAGCCACAACAAAAACAATACCAGCACCCGAAAAGTAACAAACCAATGAATTAACAACAGGCTAAGGCGGAGGGGGCGGAGGTGCAGACGACGAATAAGATAACAGTGCCCCCTCCCCGGAACACAAAAACGCATGCAGTTTGCGTTGAAGGCGGAGCAGCAGCAGGAGGATGACGAGCCCGCCGCTTCTGCCCCATTCTTTTTCCCCTACAGAAGCACCGACAAGCCGCCGACAAATATTAGCACCACTGATCCTCTTCCTCGTCCTCGTCGCCCTTTCTCCCGCCTCCCTCCACATATCCGCCTTTACCTCACAGCATTGCCATCGTCGGCGTCGACATCGTCAGACTATGCATTATTTTCTTCCCGTCTACGTCATCCTCCCTCACTCCCCCATGCTCCTCCCCCCTCATCGTTCTCCTCCTCATCATATTCCCTCACATTCCTCCATCACCTTTCCTCCCCTTCAGCTGATTCTCTCCTTACCCTCCTCCTCACTCCACTCTCGTCAGTGCCCCCCCTCCTTCCTGCCCCTTCTCTCCTCCTTCCTCCCTTCCCCCTCCCCCCCGTGCCCCCCTCTCTCCCTACCCCTCCTCCCGCCCCCCGCATCCCTTAGCCCCCTCTTGCTCTCGGCTGGCCCCTCGCAGGACGCGCCCGCCCCCTGGGAGAACGCCCACGGCGGCGCTGGCGCCGCGGGCCATGGCGCCTCGATGCGCATGGAGGCCCGACCCGACCGCCGCCCGCGACGAAACGACGACGAAGACGACGAGAACGACGACGACGACGAACACCGAACACCGAACAGCGATGGGCGGTCAACGAGCAAAAACGAGCACCGGTTCCTCCTCCTCCTCCTCCTCCTCCTCCTCCTCCTCCTCCTCCTCCTACACTTCCCCTTTTATCTTCCGAGGGAGGAGGAGGAGGAAGAGTAGGAGGAGGAAGGTGAGGAGGAGGAGGAGGAGGAAGAGGAGAGAAGGTGGAGGAGAAGGACGGCGACGACGACCAACGGCGACGACGTACAAATGCACAATGAACGACGACGACGCCAGACGCTGACGACTGGCTAAAAAAAACGAGGACGAACGACGACGAGCAGCGAGCAACGAGCGACCACGAAGACCACGTCGACGACGTCGTCGTCGTCGTCGTCGACGACGACGACGACGACAAGGACGACTGGGACGACGGCTGACGACGACGATGTCGACAGCGACGGTGGCGGCGGCAGTGGCGGCGGCGGCAGCGGCGGCGGCGGCGGCGGCAGCGGCGGCGGCGACGCCGACGACGGCGACGACGACGGCGACGACGACGAGAACGACGACATCACGACGACCGACCGACCGACTGACCGACAGACCGACCACTTCCCCCTCTTTGTCCTTCGAGGGAGGAGGAGGAGGAGGAGGATGAGCAGGAGGAGCAGGAGGAGAAGGAGGGCGGCGGCGACGACGACGACGACGATGATGACGACGATGACGGATGGCGACGAGGAGCTAACAACGAACGACGACGACGAGGACAAACAGCAAGCAACGAACGACGACGACCACGAAGAAGACGACGACCACCACGACGACGATGACGACTGCGACAGCGACGGCTTCGACGACGACGACGACGACAACGACAAGGACGAAGACAAGGATGACCGACCGCCTTCTCCTCCTCGTCCTCCGAGGCAGGATGGAGGAGAAAGAGGAGGAAGAGGAGGAGGAGGAGGAGGAGATGGAGGAGGCAGAGGAGGATGACGGCGACGGCGAGGACGCCACTGCCCCCTCATCCGCTGTTTCATTTGACGGAAGAGTCGGACCAGGAGGAGGAGGATCAATGTCTTCTCTATGCTTGGGGCCCCAGGCCGCCTGGGAGCCTCCACGGGCCTCGGGACGCCGCGGGAACTCGCGGCGGGCGTGTTTTCGCGATGCGGGCCAGTGCGCGTGCGCGCGGGCGCCTGTGGTCAGCCCAGCGAACCGAGCTTCGGTTGCAAGTACCGGTCGGAGGAGGAGGAGGAGGAGGAGGAGCAGCAGCAGGGGAGGAGGAGGAGCCGAAGGAGAGGGCGGAGAAGGAGGAGGGGGTAGGAGGGAGAAGGAAGGAGAGAGGAAGGTGGAGGAGGGAAGAGGGAGACAGGAGGAGAAGGAGTGAGGAGGGGAAGGAAGGGAACGAAGAGCAGTGCAAACCCAAGGTACACAGAAGGTACTGCACCGCACAATCCCGCCCCGAGTCCCCTCACCATGAGTCTTTGGAGGCACTTGTGTTCTCTATTGGGAGCGCCCCCATTAAAAGACTAGCGCCTCGCTGGAGCGTTATCAAAGAACCGCCACCTTGTACCACCTTTCCAACTATCATGTTACGGAGAGTTCGGTGCACACAGTTCAAACAAGCGTCAAGCGCCCCCATTAAAAGACTAGCGCCTCGCTGGAGCGTTATTAAAGAACCGCCGCCTTGCACCACCTTTCCAACTATCATGGTACGGAGAGTTCGGTGCACACAGTTCAAACAAGCGTCTAGCGAGAGGTAAAGTTTGAACAGGGGGCGCCCTCGATCCGTGCAAGTACCGCATACCGTCGTGCTTCGGGCATCGTCGGCGAACACCTCAGTTTGAGCAGGAGCCGCGTTCCGTCCGTGTGACCCGAACTTGTTCCTCAATCTCGCGCGGTGAGAGCTGAGGAACTCTCCTGCGACAGCCTCACCTTGAAAAAGCACCACGCCCCGTCTTGGCGGCGAGAACAAGGTTCCTAGGTTCCGCTGATTGGGAATTTGTGACGATGAGGCGAGAGCCTCCACTTGAAACTGAACCGCGTTCCGCTCCTGCGACTGGCACATATGGTTAAATATCATGTAATCAGAACTGGAAATTCGAAGGATAACTGCGTTCCATCCGTAGGACGAGTGCCAAAATCTTAACGCCGTGCAAAGAAGCACATGGAGTATTGGAGAGTCCGAGTTTGAAAAGGAACCGTCCTCCAACCGTGCAAATGTTAGAAGCTTGAAGGACGAATCTGCGAGGCGTCGAGGCCAGAACAACCCCAATGTTGAAGCGAGGCGCCCTCCATCCGTGTAGCCGCTGGAAGTGCTTAAAGCGAATGCCGCACAAGTGTTGCTGGTAATGCTCAGTGCCGCTGCAATCTAAGACGGCACGCCCAGTCCGTGGGAGGGTTTCATAAGAAAGAGGAGGGGGAAGAAGGAGGAAGAGGAGAAAAAGGAGGAGGGAGGGGGAGGAGGAGGAAGAGGAGGAGGGGGAGGAGGGGAGTGAGGAGGAACAGGGGGAGGGGGAGGACGGGACTGAGAAGGGAGTGGGGAGGGGGAGGAGGAGAGTGAGGAGGGAGGAAAAGGAGGAGGAGGAGCGAAAAGAGGTGGAGGAGCGCACTCACCAGCCTGAGCGCCCCCGCTGCGGGTAGAGCCCCTCTCCTCGTCGAGGGGAGAAAGGTTCAGATCCCAACGCGGCAGTTCAGATCCTAACCGGACGCAGATCCCAATTGGTAATGGAACCTGAACGGTTCACACCCAACCGAGCTCGTTTGAGCTTGGTAGGAGCTACATAGGCGGTTCCTGGAAGGCGCTTCTCCGGCTTCTTGCAGGATTCCCGTGGATTCTTGCTTGGCATCCTGATGGATTCTTGAGGATACTTCAGGGATTCCTGAAGGGCTCCTGAAAAGTCCTGAAGATCCTGGCGGGTTCCTCAGGGACTCCGCAGGGTCCTGAGGGATTCTGGAACTCCGGGATTCCTGAAGTGGATTCTTGAAGGATTCCTGAAGATCCCTTCGGAATTTATTCGGAATCCCCAGGGTTCCTAAGGGACTCCTGAAAGAATCCTGAGGATTCCGTAAGGATTTTGGAGGATTCCGAAGGATTCTTGAGGGACCTGTGTAGTTCCCGAAGGATTCCTGAAGGGGTCCTTCAGGGATCTTGAGGGTTCCTGACGGGGTCATGAGGGATTCCGGATGGTTCCTGCGGGATTCTTGCGAGATTCAGGGATTCGAGAAGGATTCATGAAGATTTCTGCAGGTCTTTGATGATCCATGACGCGTTCCTGATGATTCCAAAGGGGTTCCGAATGATTCTTGAAGGATTCCTGTGGGAGTCCCGAGGTGTTCCTGAGGATTCCTGCGGATGTAATTATTCGTATGAAACGCGCCGACCCCAGCCTCAGCTATATTTCTAGATGTTCTATTTGTTGTCCCCGTAGGAATTCATTTGGAAACGCGCCGGTGCCATCCTCCCGCAGGACTCTTAAATATTATGGATTTGTAATACACGAGGGGTTGAATGGGAAATGCGCTGAACCCAGCCTCCAGCAGTACGCAGTACTGTTCAGTTTGTTTTTCCAACGGGGTTCAACAGGAAGCGCGCCCGCAAAAGCCTCCAGCTGAATTGTTTGACAGGTCTATGTGTTTTTCGATGGACATCCAATAGACCACGAGCGGGTCCCACCCGCCAGCTGCATTCTTTACTAGATTATTCGTTTTTTCCATAGGGATCAATAGCTATTCCCACCCGCCCGCAGAATTCTTGAATACGTTACTGATTCTTCAATCGGGAATCCAGTACAGAATCCAAACGTACATTGGCCGACCCCCCCCCCACCACGCAGAATTCGGTCATAGTTGAATTGTTTTCCAATCGGGGTTCCATGGCAAGCGCGCCGATCCCAGGCGGTTCCTTTTCAAAGTGGGGGTGTCGCTTGAGACTGCCTTGAGAATGCCGGCCAGAAGCCTGAACGTATGCAACAGCTGCACGGATGAAGGATTAAGTCGGGCTTGTCCCTCTACAGGAGGAATATTCAAAAATAGTCAAAGAGTATTCTGGGGACGATGTTTTGACGACTTCTGGCTATGTTTGATTCTGTTTTGCTCATTTTACGTTTGTCGTCCAAAACCCTGTTGTAGGAGGACGGGCCCGACTTGACAGAAGCCGGAGCGTATGCAACAGCTGCACGGGATAAGGGCGGCAAGTGCACGAACCAGACACTTGAGCATGCGCGGCAGCTGCGTGGATCGCGGGCGGCACCGTTTCAGAAGTGTGTGTGTGTGTGTTCGCTCGAGAGCCTTGGGTCGGGCGTGTCCCTGCACAGGAGGAATGTCCAACAAACAAAGAATGGAACAACAGTCTGGGACGATGCTCTGACCATTGTTGAGCAGCTGTTTGACCATGTGTTATATTGTTCGTCCAAAGTCCGCCTGTACAGGGGGCATGCCCGAGCGAAGGAGAGCCCCACGATGCCCATGGCCATATAAGTGGCAAGGTGCGCAAGGGCTTCACGGCTGGGGTTGGTCCTTTTTTTCTCCGAGCGGCGACATCGTTGGACACCTCCCCTCCTCCTCCTCCTCCTCCTCCTCCTCCTCCTCCTCCTCCTCCTCCTCCTCCTCCTCCTCCTCCTCCCCTCCTCCTCCTCCTCCTCCTCCTCCTCCTCCTCCTCCTCCTCCTCCTCCTCCTCCTCCTCCTCCTCCTCCTCCTCCTCCTCCTCCTCCTCCTCCTCCTCCTCTCTTCTCTCTACTCCCTCCTCCGTCCCCCTCCTCCTCCTTCGTCGAACTGAATGAGGTCACGCCTGCGGTGTCTTCATTGTTCGCTGCAGCGATGCAGCGCAGTTCGCTCCTCTTCAGGAGGGGGCTCTCGCCCGAACGGCAGGCCCACAGGGCTCTGGTGGTTGAGA